ATTTCACATCCAAAGTGATTATTCCCAGGGATGCACAACATCCTGAAAGGTGGAAGCATTACTATCATGGCCTCTCTTTAAAGTCACTTTAAATAAAAACTGGCACAAATCACCCCTGGCCTCATAAACCAGGGGGTATTGGTTTGAGTCCCATCTGGGACCTCCAATAGAGTTTTGCAGTATGTGTAGGGCTCATAACCCAGAAAAGAGTCAGCAGCCATGACGGTTGGTGCTTCAGTCTCTAGTTTTTCCAGTTCTTGATCATGCTGAAACTCACATACTCTCCAATGTGTCCATTGGGGTGCTTTGGCTTCTCCACCAAACTGCCACTAAAAAAATCACAAGTCAACACTCACTATTGTTTCACAGGGGACTTCCTGGAGCCCTGAAAGGAAACTTTGTCCACTACCACCAAACCGTAGGGTCTGGAAAATGAGGCTGCATTCAAAATACTTTGGTTTTAAATCAGTTCTTCTGTTTTTGTCTGTAATATGATTAACATCCAATCTCTGGCTATAAAACCATTGTTCAGAGGATTTTTTTTAACATCACTTTTTCAGATCTCACAATATTTCCCTTGTAGGCAACAATGTGTCAATTAAAGTGATATTAGCAGTGGGAGGTGTGTAAAAACAAGAGGGAAGTTGTAAAAGAAATCAAGATGAGATTAAGCTAAGGCTATAGAAGAAATACCAAGAAAACATATTCCCTGGATATCCAACAAATTGTTGTTGACAGAGAAAACTGAACGCTGTCCTTCAATGGTGAGAATTTTGTTGTCAGCCCAGAGTTTTCACGCCAGTGAGAATAACTCACGCCAGAGGCTTGATCCTTTCTCATGCTCCTTTCCCAGTGTGCTTTAAGTGTTTTTTAGAGGGGCGTCAGTGAGGTGGGGTTGGAGGGTGCACAGGAAGGAAAAGGTGTAGCTGGGAAATCTCATCGAGGCTCCTCAGCGAACAAGAGGACACCCCAGTCAGGATCTGGGCGCCGCTGCCAAGTCATCTCAGGGTCGCAGACTGCAGCGGCCGTCGTTTCGGTGAAGCAGGCACAGAAAGCCTTGCAGAGAAAACCCCAAAATGTAAACATGCATGTGAGCGGGAGGACGTGGAAAGAAGAGAAGGAGCCTTGGTGCTCATGTGCAGTGTTTCCTCAGGAGATGAGGAATGACTTCCTCTCTGAGATTAGCAGAAGACTGCACAGTTTCTGGGGACAAGCACTTCCACATGCCCATTTATAATAATAACACTATTGATATGCATTCATACAGTGCTCATTTAGCGCTCCATTAGGGTGATAGACATGAATTGTTTTCATGTTATACTGATTTGCCTTAGTTATAATATTCAAACATCTATCACACCCTCCTAGCTTCACTTTTTATTTAGTGCCATCAGCCAAAAGTTAAGTCCAAAGCTTACATTTCCAAACCCTGCATGCTGACAGTGTCTCTATGTTCACATCTGCATGCTCATAGAAACTGTTTCATGACACATAATATAATTTTTTAAGACGCTATTCTCTACAGGCAACCCCGGTAATGTGCTAACAGCCAGTAACTCCCCACTCCAACCCAAGATGGCCGCCCCTCCCTGAGCCTTTTTCTGCTGGATGTTTCTTCCTGTTAAAAAGGAGTTTTTCCTTCCCACTGTCACCAAGTGCTTTCTCATAGCTGGGTTTTTTATTGGTGGGGCTTCCTCTATATTTTTGTAGCGTCTTTACAATACAAAGCGCCATGTGGTGACTGCTGTTGTGATTTGGTGCTATAAGTAAAAATGAATTGAAACAAATTGAATTGCAACCAATTTTACTCAGTGACGGCCGGTTGTTGACCAGTCTCCTGGCCGGCATGACCCAAGGGAGTAAATCAGAGATGAATAAGGGTATGCAAATGGAGAAACATAAATTTTGGTTTGTCAGATTGTCAGAAATGCACAGACTACATGCAGACCACATGCTCTTACATGCATACTCAGTCCTTAAGTTTTAGTTCCTGCATTAGAATGACAGGCAGGATAAAATCCACCAGTGACAGATACACAGCATAGCCATTCTTGATATTTTAAGAAAATCAATTAAATGCAAATAAAAATGATCTTTATTTCTATATTTTAAGAATATGTATAAACATATAAGATATAAGCTCATTGCAATGAGGTAATATTCTCAACGTGGTCTTAAAAACGGTACAATAAATGAATAAGAGTTGTTCATGTCTTTGATTTGTGAAGCAGTGAGGGATTCATTTGTTAAATTACTCCTGCTGAATTTTACTTGCAGAAATAACGTACATCTAAGGTGCAAAGTGGATAAACTCGAGCTGCATTTACAGCAAAGGTTCTTTGCAGCAAACTGATGGAAACGTGTGCATAGCCACACTTGTCAATCTGGCTCCGTACAACTTTCCACACTTCAAATGAAAATAGCAGGGCCCGACTAAAAATGACCACCTCGACAGATGTGCAGCGAGCTCAGGCAGCAGGAAATGGCAAGAGTGTCACGTCTTTCAGCAAGCGAGGAGAGGAGAGGTCGACCCAGAAACATATGCTGCCTGACCTTTGGCTTTTTCTTCCTGTAAGGACGCCTTCCCGCTCCCTCTCTCTCCGGCTGTCTTTTTTTTAAAAGTGTTGTCATTGGAAAAATATTTAGTCAGATTAATAAGTATACACTTATATTGGATTTGTAATTTTTTTAAATATATATTTATATAATGGAGGATCTATAAAACAAAATCATCAGTATTTATTTACCCAAGCCACCTGGGTTGTTGTGCTCAGATGTTGAAATCTAAAGCACTGGCTCCCTCCAGTGGTGACATAGTGGGTTTGGCCATGAGGGCCAAAATAAATTAACTAAATATACAAGCAATTCATTAAATGTAATTATTTAATTAAAATTGTAATTAAATAACTGTATTAAATGTTGTAAATGAAATAAATTGATATTAATTATTAACATATTTAATTAATCATTTCTAGTTCAAATTAATTAATTAAAATTGATTAATAATCTAATATATGTATTAATTTCATTTTGGCACCCTACATAATTTCAATCAAAATGAACGTTTATTCACCTTTTCTCACTTTAGTTTCGAGGAGGAGCAGAGTCAGTCCAAAGAAAGACATTTTATTCAAACATCCATAGTCAACAATAAACAAATAATTTGCCATTTACAGTCATTCCTCGCATTTACAGTCGTGTTAAAAAGGAGATACAAATGGTTTCCGCTAAATGAGTTTCTGCACAAAACTTAATAATTTAGTTCAAACATACTTTTCAATGAAAATTAATAACTACTGTTAACTCTCTCTCTCTCTCTCTCTGTCTGTCTGTCTGTCTCTCTATCCTGGTCTTTGGATGTGCATGTACTGAAAAAAAAAAGCCATAAAAATGAAAAGGTTTGAATGCTTTTATTCACTGTAAACCTTCACTTCTTATGTTAACTCGTCTGCAAAGACTTTTCCACAGTTCATGCAAGGTTACATTCCATCTAAACCGCAGAGAACTTGTCTAGAGTTCGGTGAATTTATCGACGAGGTGAATAAATTATATCCTAGCGGTTGCGAAGCTCTCGTTTGCTGTGCTTCAGCAACTTCTGTGAAACATCTGGCCTTCGTCTTTCTCCCAGAAAAAGAAGTCCCCCCTTCCCTGTCCTGTTCCCTATAATTCCTTAAGATGATGTTACTCAGTTTCAGTCAACCCTGTGTTGGGGATTCTTGTTTTATGAGAAGCACACAGGGCCGATGTCCAGGCCAAACTCCTGATCAGTTTGTCCGATGTCCATGGGGGCCAAGTCCATGATAGGCAGCCTGGTTGAAGTTTGAGTCCTGTACTCAATCACTGTCCGACCCCATGCGCCATTTGATTTCTAAGGACAACAACAGAAATATCAGTCAGTGTATTTTCCAGGAAAAACTAATTTAGGCATTTTATCGAAGACTCACCGAGCAGCCGTCCTCAATGACAGTATATCGTAGCCGGTTGGAGCCTTGGGCTCTCAGTTCTTGACCATTGAAGGCTCTGAGGACCAGCGCTTTCTTCAGATCCCCACTGTTCTCGTCGTTGTAAGCAACGCTGTTCCTGCAGTGGTAGGTGACGTTCTGGTGCGACTCTTTGGACAAAAGCTGTAGCAACTTCAGCTGCACGGCCACCGCGTTTGGTTGTTCCTCCTTGTTGCCGTAGCGGAACTGAAATCACATGTCATATGAAAAGCTCAGTGATTTTTTTTAAGCAACTACACCATGCATGCCACTTCTAGAAAAGCATCCACTTCTTACCCTGGCGCCACCGTTCATGTCAGCCTCGAACCAGATGGGTTTGTTGTCATTGGGCTTTGATTTCGTCCACCAGGCTTTGCGGGGAACGTTGGGTGGGTTGGCAGAGATGCAGGTTTCACCAGTCTCCATATTGCAGAAGACCCTGATGGCATCTTTTACGCTTCCTTGGTTTGGATCAATCCAGTACTGACCTGTATGGGAAATACAAGCGCCATCACTGAAACTGTAGAAAAATCAAAATCTAATAATCAGTAAATGGTTGAAGAAGTGCAGATCCTGACCGCTGCTTTTCTGTGGGTAGCAGTTCTTGATGTCCTGGCAGGTTTTGGCAGGGTTCATCTTGCTGCCGTCAGGACTGCGGAAGTTCTGCAGATTTCCACTGAGGCTCTTCAGCGTGGCGTGGATGCCGGTGTCTGCCCGCAGTGTGGCCGAGTTCTTGTTGGGAAGGGCTTCATCTTTGTTGAACTCGTGAAGCAGAGGAGGTTCTGCGGCCACAGCGTCCTCAATGAATTCCACGGCTTCAGGAATTCCTTGTGCTTCGTAATCGACCAGGCCAGCAAAAAGGTCTTCAGAAAGCGAGGTGGGAGGTCCTGGGGATCCTGGAGGGCCGGGGGGGCCTGGTTCACCAGGTGGGCCCTGAATAATGAAAATGATTAATGAGCTTTCTAGTTACTAAAATATAAAGCTATTTTTGATCCAAAGAGGATGATCTACTATGACTTTGTACCTCTTGAAATTTTATTGAGTATCTCTCTTTGACTTCTAACTTTAACTTTAGGTGTAAACTCAGTCGTGTCCCCGTGTCTGTCTGGCCTCCCTGTTTGTTCTGAACAAACAGCATTCACTGTAATTTTATAAGATGTATCCAATGTAATGCATGAACCAGAGAGAAAACCATTGTACAAGCACATAAATGTATTTTGTACTGATAAAATAAGTGTGGTAAAGTGCTCAAAGTCTGACTGCGGAGTGCAGAAATGTTCCTGGAATATGTCACAATGGAACTTTTTGTACACGCTTGTTTCATCTATGCAGGAAAAAAAAATCACAGCTTCTTTCCCGCTTCTTTCACCTGTGCTCCGACATCTCCGCTGCTCCCTCTGCTTCCAGGAGGACCCATAGCTCCAGGGTGGCCAATGTTTCCTTCCTTACCTGGAGGACCGACCACGCCAGGAGGCCCCTGTGTGGATATCAGAAAAACATTTTCACAAAACGACAGGAAGAGAAATTATGTTTAGTTTTTAATGTGATGTTGATTATTGCTTACCCTCGGACCGCTTGGTCCAACTACTCCTATAGCTCCTGCGTCTCCTGTGGCACCCTAAAACACAAAGGAGTACATTAAAACTTCTAATTTCTTGTTTCCATGATGTAACCTTAATGTCCAAACATCTTTCTTACTTCTGTTCCTTGCAGGCCTTGGAGCCCGGTGAATCCTCTGTGACCTTTCTGACCCCTCTCCCCAGGCTCTCCAGCAGCTCCTTTGTCCCCCTGTGGTCCTTGAGGGCCAACTTTTCCCCGTATTCCTGGCTGTCCTTGGGGTCCATGAGGGCCTCTTTCACCCTAAAGTCAAAAGAGACGTAACAGTTGTGGATTTAAAGATGTAGCTGGAGTTTAATGCTGAACTTTAATCTGTTGCTTGCTGTTAAAAAAAAAGAGAGAACTAAAAAAATAAATTGGCTAAAAAATCTGATGGGAGATAACAGCGGGTACTCACAGTAAAATAAATAATATACTTTTATTTTGAAAATCGGGAAAAGAACAAAGTGTCTATGTTGGTGTCTGGGATAGTTGCCCATTACTATGTGTGTCCGTGTGAGAGTGAGAGTAGCTTTAAACTATGAATGGCAGCTGAGACACTGCAGCTGTGATGATTTGGCTTTAAACTGAGCTGGAATTACATATCTATCCAGTACTGTATGGATAAATAAATAATTAACTCTCAACAGGATTACATTTGTGTACGTCCATTTCAAGGAGTCTTACAATCAGATTCAGCCATTTATCTGAAATGCAAGTGAAAACACATCAAAAGTATCCACCAATTAGAGACAGGAAGGAGACGACCAATCAGATAATGGCATTTAAATAAGCCATAGCTCATTAACTGTCAGTTGTTCACACCTTTGTCAGTTACACAGCTGTTAAAGTTGAAAGGCCTGATTTAGACTTCTGAGGGGAAGTTTTGTGGAGCCTACAGCGTAAACATGAGAGGCTGACATCATTATCAGTATTACTGGGCTGCTGGATTACATGTTAATTACCACATGGCCGTGTCCTCGTGTTTTACATCTGGTACCATCCAAAAAAAAGTTAGAAATTCATCCCTCTTTGTTGTGGTCATTTTTTTTTTTCAGAGACCTTCTAGTTTTTGTAGTCCTGGTTGATCTGTTTGTTAAACTCACATTTACACCCATTTGACCTGGACTGCCTGTTATTCCCACTGGACCCTCAGTACCTGGAGACCCTGGACCACCAGCCAGACCCTCTGGGCCAGGATTGCCCCTGTCACCCTACAAACAGGCCAGAGATTAGACCACACCAAGCCTCTAAAACAAACACACAGATACATTTTATACATTTTATCTTACCCTTTCTCCGACTAGGCCGTCCTTACCAGGAGGCCCCTCAGCTCCAGCAATACCCTGAATCAACAAATGATATTAGAAACTTAAGATCTGAGAAAAACAAAAAAACAAAACAAGAAATTGTTCACTTCTGATAAGAAGAAGGAAAAACCAGATCTGTGATATAAAAGGCTGAGTCATCTACAAAGAATTGCATGGCACTATGATTTCCAGGTGTTTAGCTGAATGTACTGATACTGAAAACAAATTTTATGTGCTGTCGTTGCTAAAGGCCACAAACCTGCAAGCCTGTAACTGACAGGTTAAAAGAAATGTGACAAAACTGCTGTCTTAATAAACTTTTAATAAGTTGGTGAATACTGAACAGTCAAAGAAATCTGCTTTTGAGCTACAGAAACATTCTAGTTATGTTTTCTAGACATAAACAGCACTTTCTGAGAGTCACTTTAGATTGAAGCCTTAAACCGCTTAAATGAAAGTCCTTCAGATTTGATTTATACAGCTCCATCTCAAGGACAAACCTCAGGTCCAGGATCTCCTCTTGGCCCAGTGGCTCCTGGTAAACCGATACCCCCAGGAGGACCAGTGCTTCCCTGAGGTCCAGGTGCTCCTGCTTTTCCCGGTGGACCCTGAGGCACAAATAAACACAAACTTCCTCATCTAACTCTAACATAAATAATGGCACTGCTGAGGAGCGAGTTGCCTTTGTGAGCAATAACAATAAACAGGAAACATTAGCGGGAGCACTCACAGCAGGACCTGGCAGTCCCAGCAAGCCTCTCTCTCCTCTGACTCCGGGTTGGCCGACAATTCCTCGCTGCCCTGCGGCGCCAGCAGGTCCTGGAGGCCCATCAGGACCCTGATGGAGAAGTACCAGAGCTGATGAGCAACTGAAACATCTCTGAATTCGAACAACAACAAAAAACTTCATCTTACAGGAGGACCGTCCTCTCCAGATTCTCCTTTCTCCCCAGATCCGCCGGGTAGCCCTGGAGGTCCATGCTCGCCTTGACGTCCCTGACCTCCGTTCTCTCCTCGAATCCCGGGAGGACCCTGTTTTCCTGGAGCACCTATAGGCCCGTCTGCTCCAACTGCACCCTGAAATACAAACATAAAAGTGACTTAATAAAAGAAAACTGGATGTTTTTGTGCATCCCAGTTCATTTACACTATGTCAGGTCTTTAAGGTTTGTTTTTATAAGGAACTCACAAGAGGACCAGGTGGACCAACTCCTCCAGGCAATCCAGGAAAACCGGGGGAGCCCTGTGGGAAGGAGACAAGTTTTACCTCAAATATGTTCATCACTGAGTTTTGGAGAGGCTTGTCCGGGTCAAAATACTCACCGTTGGACCCTTTGTTCCTCTGCCACCTTTCAGCCCGGTCACACCAACAGGTCCCTGAAAAACACAGACACAGGACAATTTTCTACGCGACCCATCTACTTCCTGTCAAGTTACTCATTAAGAGAAACAAAGGTCAAATGTAGCTCTCAAAATAAGTAAAGCATAACCAGAGAGACTTTTTTCTCTCAGAATGTATGCCAATTACATCCAAGCGACATACGAAATGCATGCCAATCACCCTCATGGTCCAGTGACGCTTGCCTAAGAACAAATGCATGAGTGAAAACTTTCAAATAAATGAATAAATCCTTCAAAAAAGAGGGGTGGCTCCTTCACAGTGTTGTAAAAATGTGCTGAAAGTGTTGAAAAAGAGGCATTTTTCCTTTTCATATTAATTAAGTTTTTATTAGAGCCGCTGATACTGAATATATGTGCACTGCTTTTGTACTTTTCAGACTGGTGCATGTAAAACTAAAACTTTGTGATTAATTCTGCTTCACAGAAACTGTAAACCCATATTAATAGGGATTGTTTCAGATTTTATAGATTAAAACATTTGGCAGCGTACCTGCTCTCCTGGTTTTCCAGCCACGCCCTGAGGTCCAGGTGACCCTGCTTCTCCCTTCAGACCTGTCTCACCTGTTTCACCCTTGACCCCAGGCTGACCATCAGGACCCTGGGAAAGAAAAAAAAACAGTAGCTAGAGATGAATCTCTCTTCAGTTACCTTCTAGTTTATTATTCTGTTAATCCTTCGGTGGTTTTGTGCGTCACACTGTAACAGGCCACTTACAGGAGGTCCAGGGAAGCCAGCAGCACCAGTCGGACCAGGCTCACCAGTAGATCCCTGAGAACATGGTCACACACACCAATACACACAATCAAGAAGAAATTACAGCATTGAAAAAAGTGAATATCAGCTCAAATAAATGTAAAATAAAATATTGTGCCTACAGCGATTCCTCTTGTTCCTCTGCGCCCTGTTGGTCCCGATGGGCCGGTTTCACCCTGAAATGAAATA